CCTCCACCAGCTTTGTTGCCCTTCTCTGGACACACTCCAGCACCTCAAGGTCCTTCTTGTAGTGAGGGGTCCAAAACTGAACACAGAATCCAAAGTGCAGCCTCACCAGTGCCCAGTACAAGGGGACAATCCCTTTCCTGGTCCTGCTGGCCACACTGTTCCTGATGCAGGCCAGGATGCCACTGGCCTTCTTGGCCACCTGGGCACCCTGCTGGCTCATATTCTTCTAGCTGTTGACCAACTGTCCCAGGTCCTTTTCCACTAGGCAACTTTCCAGCCACTCATCCCCAAGCCTGTAGCATTGCATGGGGTTGTTGTGGCCCAGGCGAAGGACCTGGTTCTTGGCCTTGTTGAACCTCATACAATTGGCCTCAGCCCATCAATCCAGCCTGTCCATATCCCTCTGCAGAGCCTTCCTGCCCTCAAGCAGATCATCACTCCCACCCAACTTGGTGTCATCTGCAAACTTAGTGAAGGTGCACTCGATCCTCTTGTCCAGATCACTGATAAAGATACTGAACAAAACTGGCCCCAGTACTGAGCACTGGGGAACACCACTTCTGACCATAAAGATTTTATTTCTCACAGAATGCCCAGCCTTCCTGCACTTCTTTGCCCATCAGGGCTGCCTCCCAAGGGATTCTGTCACCCAATCTCCTAAATAGGCCAAACTCTTCCCTCTGGAAGTCCAAGGTGGCAGTTCTGCTGGCCCCCCTCCTTACTTCTCTGAGAATCGAAAACTCGATTCATTTCATGATCACTATGTCCAAAACATTGTGTTCTCTGTTCACAAACAACAGGTCCAGTGGGGCAACTTCCCTAGTTGGCACCCTCACCAGCTGTGTCTAGGAATTATCATCTTTCACACACTCCAGGAACCTCCTGGACGGTTTCCTCTCAGCTGTGTTGTATTTCCAGCAGACACCCTGTAAGTTGAAGTGCCCCACAAGAACAAGGGCTAGCGATGGTGAGATTACTCCCAGCTGCTTATAGAATTTCATCTGCCTCTTCATCGTGGTCGGGTGGCCTATAACAGACTCCCACTATCATATCTGCTTTGTTGGCCTTCCCCTGATTCTTACCCATAAACACTCAACCCTATCATCACCATCATTAAGCTCCACACAGTCAAAACATTCCCTAACGTTCAGGGCTACCCTATACTTTCCTGACATATTTAAGAACATATTTCTGCAAGTGCACTGCTAAGTGTGTGACAAACAACTGAAGGCTACTGTTTGGACCTACATGTCATAATTCTTTCTACATGCTAATGCATTCTGCTAAATATTCCTATAGGACTGCCAGTGAAAACACTAAGGAAATACCAACACCAGGCGTCATTATTACTCGTGTCTCACAGTGATCCTATGTGAATCCTGTGTAGGAGAGCAGACATTGCCCTCTTACAATCCTTTTTCTCCCCTCCTCTTTCCAAGTCTTTACAGGAGGATTCCTGTACTTTTTCATCAGCTGATAAAAACAATTTTTAATTATCTCCGCCTGCATACACAGGCACACAACAGTACATTTTGTGCCTGTGTCTTTGGCAACACATCCTAAAATTTAGCAATAGACACTGCTTTGATTCATAAACCATAAGATCACAAATGGCCACATAGATATTTTCAGCTTTTACTCCAATATCTCATCTAATCTGCACATAAAACACTCCAAAGAATAAGTCTTACCCAATTCCCTTAGCAAAACAGACAATGGCCAACTACCAAGACTGTTTAAAATATTTTTGCTGCCTACCCTAATATTTTCTGCCTTTAGTTTTGGGACTGTCAGTACCTCAACAGCCCAGAAACTTTATAATTTGAGGCGAAACACACAGTAAACCTAAATGAAGAATAATAAATATATAGAGATGTTATTGGGGTTTTTTTCCCCTCAAACTGAATACTTTAGGCTGAACTGAGTGATTCTGTAACATGTTTTGCATAGAGCAAAAAGTCACTTTCTATGCATAAATAACGTTCACTTTTTCAGCATGTATTTTACTAGTAGGAAGAATTTCCTAATAGAACACCACACACTTTTTCCCCAAAGAAAATCAGCATATGCACTATTTTTTTTAATCATGTGAAGAATACCAGAGCAGAGAAATCTTTCTCTGGCAAGGACTGACCAGACAGTGTAGTAAGTTAAATCCAGTGATCATCTTAAGGATTCTCCAGTTATGGGTACATGGCTGGGCCTTAACCACAGTGTTTATGTGACCCCCCCAGCTAAGATCCTGTACTCCTGTATGACAGCCAATATTCACTACATTCGTAAACAACTGAAAAAATATATAGGAAAAACACTGCCAAGTTTGTAGCCCACAACTTCTTATGGTGGGAAACGATGGAGCCTTTGCCATTCTAATAGTGTCCCAAATCAGGTCTCCACACAGACAAAGTTCCCAGTGATAAGGGACATAAGTAGGGCACGTTCTTTTAAAAGTCTGAGTCCCATTAAGCTGCTCATTGTTCATAAAGGGAATGGTGTTTATACAGGAAAAAGTCCAGTTTCAACAAAACTGAGTTCCAACAGATGTTTCCTTCTATCTAAGCAAAACAAGTTTGTGACCTGTTTCTGCCCAATCAGAAAGCTTCAAAATTAATTTTACAGGGCAAAAAAACCCCACCCTGTACTCCACAGAATGACCTTGGGGGAAAAAAAAAAAAAATCAGAAAAACTTATATTTCACAATTGCAGCTGCTACTAAAGTGAATTAATCTGAATATTTCAGTCTTTAAAAAGAATGCTTTATGATCTGGGTTTGAAGGGATAAAACAACATAATTATAATTTTGGTTTGTACTGGAAAGAGAAAGTAGGGCAGGTTGTTACTCACACAGCTCTTCATTGCAACTGCTTTCCTCAAACCAATTTAACATCTTTTGTCCAGACCTCCCCCAACATCCCTCCAAAGCTCTCGGCTGCTTTTGGTTTCCTCCAATCTCTTAAGACCTCTCTTCCTCTGCACACAACCGTTAAATAATAGAAGTGTCTGAGCAGAGTATAAAAGTTATATCCCTTAATTTTATTTAAAATTACTACTACCAGTACACACTAATCATACAGTAAGCATAAGCACTTTGTAGAAGTGTAGAAGATAAAGAATTTCAGGCTTTGCCAAAGTCCTGCTGTTGAGACTGTGCTGTTACACACCTGTTTCACTTAGCATCACGAGAAAGTTCCATGGATTTCAGGATGTACCGGATGGTATTATACCATTACAGAGCAAAGCCATTTTTGCTTGGATTCTGCTGTACAGGCACCATCTTCCAGGACGTTGGCACATTTTCTGTACCCAACAATACCTTGCTCCAGAAGATGAACTGAGATGGACCACGTGTTGCTGAGAATTTTATAAAATAGAGGCCCAATGGATTAGATTAACAGCTAGATAGAAGTTTCAACACCAAAGCTAAAATATTCTTTGTGTGACAAGTGTAGTCGGTGCATGCAACCTTCTATGCCCATCTTTACCTTCACAAGTCCCTTCTTCCCCAGATTCACTCCAGTTATTTCTGGTTGTAGTTATTTTTTAAGCATTATACAAAGTTCAAACCTCCACAGTGTTTCATGTGCAGCACGCTTAGCACTGAGGTTCCTTACCCCAGCCAAGGCCTCCACATGTCCTGAGATGAATATAACAGGATGGGACTGTAATCTGGCAGCAATGCAATGCACCATTATTGCAACCATCACGAATATTAGCAGTGTGAAGGACATCCCACTGAGACACATTTCAAATCTGCCTATCAAACAATTATAGCAGAAGGTACAGCAGAAGGTTTTCTCCCTCCCCCAGTAATCTTATTTGTCCTTTAAATAAATCTTAAGTATAATCTCAAACTGTCAGCATTTTTGTAAAGAAATTCAGCTCTGACCTAATTGGATTTGTCAGACAATCACAGCTAAACAGTTCTGTGAGCTCCAACAGCTGAACAGCTAGAGAATAAGCTTTCCACATTGCAATGTGTAAGAATATGAAAGTGCATTTCAAGAGGAAAAATTTCCTCTGATAGTGGTAAAAAGACATGATTTGTTCCACAGTTCAAACCCTGTCCCTTAGCAACATAATGATGTGGTGTGGCATAACTAAGGTTGTGTGAGTAGCTCCATATAGATGATTATCTGCAGTTAACTGTTCAAACATTGTAACTTCAGGCTGCTCTGAATTCACCATGATTGCTAAAGGTTTGCCTATGCAAACTTGCTTTCATTTTAAACTTTTTAAACACAGACAACGCAGGGGAAAAAAACCCAGAGATCTCCGACAGGAACACATAACAGTAGCAGTTGAAAATAAAAGTAGTATACATTACATTGCATAGAAATAAAAGAGAAAGGGGAATATGTATTTTAGCTGAAGAGGGGAAACACCTCCTATTCCTGTGGACTTCTTGATTTTTTTCCTCACCAATACATATATATGTACACATGAAGCTTGCTCTGTTATTGCTGTGTGTATCATCAGCTTCTAGTTCTGTACATGCTTCTGTGCGCTGGAATAGTGCATGTTAAAGACATCCTAGGATATAATGGCCTAAACCCCACAGAAACCTCATCCTCTAAATGGCAAAACAGAATACATTACAATCATGTAGAGGTTACAGGTTAAGTAATTATAAATGGCCACTTTCAGTGCCTTCAAATCATGGTTCCTTCAATGATTGATATTATTCTGTATGTGTCCAGATCCAGAAGAAAAGTCATTTTACAGATTGTTATTTTAAGGTCAGTGAAATGAGTGTCACCTTGATTTTCAACATACAGTCACACAGGTTTTTAATATTTATATTTAGAAGAATATAAACTTGAGCAGTCAGCAACGTTATTTTCTGTATTTGCACAGTTGGTAACCAGCATGTCTGTAACTGAGGAATGTAAGCAAATTTTGCATTGAATTCCAAACCATGTTTTGATCTGAGGCAAAAAGCGATTTGAAATAATGTAAGGAGTCTACCAACACCAATACTCAGGAGTCATACACTCTCCTACCTGTTGGCTTATCCACACCAAGGAATCCAGCCTGTCCCAGGATTTTAAATACTTTATGTGCTGGGAACTGTCCTTCTTCTTCCCACTTGTCCACAAAGGGATTAATCTCCTTGTCGATGATCTAGATTTGAAAAACAAATTTTAAAAGTTATTAACATAGACATGCCTAGAGACACCTTTAACTACTTTTGTCTAAAAATTTCAATGTTAAAAAAAAATGTACAGGGAAAATTTTGAAAGTACATTAATTTTCTTACTTCCTGTTGGACATCCTTATTCTCTACCCACTCACAACCATTACAATAGATGCTATGAGGCAAATATAAATAATTATTTTAACAATTACAACTATTACAAGAGGAAGTCATCTGGGCTGGTTTAAGCCTCTCCAAGACTTAAGAAAATGGCAGTTCCCCCTCACCATCTGTTGCCTTTTTGGGTACAGTTTCTAGAAAGTGACAGGAAGGGAAGTCTGGATTATCCTCAGAGGGACCTTGCCAAAGAAGGTTGATGATCTATTCACAGTGATCACACACACTATTCAAGACAGGCAAGTAGGAGAGACCTCATTTCCTCTCCCTTTGCCTGAAATGCTGTCAAGGTCATCAGTGCAGTTCAGAGCACTGTGTCCAGTCTGCATTTAGACCTCCCTAGGATCTGACAAAACATGTACTAGAAAAGTCTGGTGTTCTTCCAGATTTTATAGCATTTCCACGTCTAGTTCCTGGACAACTCATAAACAGGGCTATTGCTGCACACCTTCCAAAATACAATGTCCTAACCTGCCTGGCTACTGCCCTTTTTCTGATCAGGTTGCTGTCCTCCCATCCAGCTGTTGCAAGCAAAACACATCTGGAGCCACTCAGTCCAGTAACACTTTCAGGGCTGGACATCTCTCCCCTCAAATTCCCAGATTTCCATGGCCATGGGAAGGGAGCAAAACGGGCAATCTGCCGTTTTGCAGCTGACTTCTAATCCCAGCAGTAACTCCTGAGCAGAGATGACTCCATGCCAAACAGCCCCACACCACATGGTGCCCCGGGCGTTTGCACTTCTGCCGCCTTGTTCTTGCTCCCCAGGCCTACCAACCCAGCATCAGGCAGACGGGGTTTCAATAGCCCTCAAAAGGAGTCAGTTGGATAGTGCCCACCCCTATCTACCTCCACAAGCCAAACCTGTGCCACCAAGTGCACCTGGGTCAGCATGCACAAGGGGGTCCAAACACAAAACAGAAAAGCCATCCTCTTTCCCCCAAACCAACCTTACCAAAACAAACAGCAATTCCCAACAGAAAGTTAGTATCTTTAATCCATTACAACAATTTTGCTGCTACACTGTTTTACAAAGAGAGTTGCACTATTCTTTTAAGAACTCACTCTGCTCAGTCTTTGCTCCACACTAAATAAACAAGTCCTGTGGTGCTAACTATTTCTTGTGCCGGAAATAGACTCCTCTCCATCCCAAACTGCTGTGCTCATGAGACCCTGCGGAGCCTTCTCCTGAGCTATTTATTGCACATTCTTCAGAGAATTTCAGCCCATATATGGCTGCTTTCTGCTTCCCAGTTGGCCACAGAAAGAAGGATACTTCATTGTTGGTAACAGAAAAAACACATTTTCGCTTGTCTCACCAAATTTTGAGAAACGTATATACTGAATGTTCGACTCAATCAGTAATTATCATCTCTCTCCCTCTCTTCTACTGAATAATGTAGGCCTCATGATCAATAGTAACAAAATACTCACCAGGAAACTATCTGGGACAGCCCATACTTAACATCTATATTACCATATCCTAGATGCTCAGATTCTAGAACCCTGACCCGTTATGTTGAGTTACAGGTGGTGAAACACCTTTTTGATTGATTGTAAGAACATCTGGTAATGCTCACCTGGTAACACCCAGGGAAATGCCTGAAAAAGGTTATGAAGTACGTACAGAAAGTTATCCCAGTGTTTTGATGGATCTTGGCAAAACTATGAAGTGAATGTACTAATAGAGTTTTGTGCTTGTTATGGCTGGTACCCAGCCAAGCATTTCACAGCCTACATCAAAGCTACCTTTGATATTAAACAGAGCCAGAAGAATGACTAAGGCATGAAAAAAGTTGTTTGATTCCTGAGGACTAGAACCTGCTCGCTCCTGTGCCTTTGAGTAAAACTCAAACTGTTTAACAGAGCCAAAGTTTAATTATTACCAGGTGAAGTTTGCCACACAAAACTAGAATTCCCTTACATGACACAACAAAAATCCAACAAACCACAAACAGGACATGCCTCTAAGTTCAAGGGGGGGGGGGGGGGGGGGGAAAAGGTATCACAGTCCAGATACAAATATCTGCAGTTGCTTCTTATCCACTGGACTATCCACTTCAAACTGTATTTTTGCAAAGAAATTTAATAGGTCCTGTCAAGGCTTTCACACTTTAGACCCAAATTGTTTGCAAAAAATCCCACATGCTATTTATAATCATAAATAAGACCCTAAGCAAACCAAGGCAATTTCAGGCATCTCATTCCTTTAAAATTATCATTCCTCAAATCTTCAGAAAACACGCATCCTCAGATAATTTGCAGTCAGAGGGCAGTCTGATTCCCTCTGCGGGGCAATGAGAGCGAAGAGTGCTTGGATGGGAGAGGGGATTAGGGGGAAACACCTCCCCTTGCACTATCACAACCGTAAGCCATATTGCTGGAGAACTGCAGTGCTGGTCAACTGGCTAATGCTACAGTACTGATTATTGGATATTATCATCCCTCCATATAAAACGCAAACTAAAACAGAGAGAGATATATTTTCAAAGGGTCAAGCCAACAATGATTGAAGGAACACAAGCAATTACAGAATGTGTGCTTAAAACACTGCAAAAGACAGGTTTATGTGGATAAAATGGTTAGGTATGCAGCATTATTTAATTTACCCTTTCCCTTGGCTCTGGCCAGCTCCTTACATCTGTGCCATCAGAGACATATTTCACACTTGAATTAATTTAAATTTTGACTAATTGACTTCAGATTTTTTTTTTTTTGAATGAACACAGCTTTAAGAAACAAACACTAAGAGCTGCAGGCACATATTATGCAGGCACTTCCACCTAAATCATAAGGTATACACTGCAGTGTTTGACAAATACATAGAAGCAAGCTTTCAGAAGCAGGTGACCAGCTGGAGTGGGGTTTTTTTACATGCTTTATCATAAAAAATGTGGAAATAATGGGTGATAACATTTAGAATTGCATCACTAGTATACTGACTGTAACAAGACCTAAAACTCCTCTCAGTACAAATATTTTAACACATAGTATAGATGCCATCTGACAGCTATTCCCAGCCATGATGGAAATCTTTTTACCTGATCTAACTGACCAAATCTCAGTGGTATTTGGGATGTAAAGACAATTCAGGAGCCATACATATTTCCCACATTCTGATCATGTACCAGTAAACCAAAACACAAACTTTATTATTTTTCCCAGTAAGTCTCATGTATGGGACTAGTGTTTTTCTCAAGCCACATCATTCAAACCACAAAGCTGCAAACTTAAAGGACTCTGCTCTGGAGGCGGCCTTGATTCAGGCTGCATCCCAGCGAGAACTCGGGCTGTTCTCCAGGGAGCCTCTGAAGGCATGGCTGCAGGGGTGGTATCAGCTGTGAATTATTTCAAAAAACACTGGATATTTGCCTAGTCAGAAACTGATTGAGCCAACAAACTCGCTTTAATGTTGAATGATGGTAAGAAAAATGAAAGTGTTTTCATTTAAAATAGCCTTAACAAAGCATTGTGAAAACAGCACCTGTAGCTTCCTGCCCAGGAGCAGGGAAATGTAATGGCAGGGCTGGGGATGGGATAGAGATGGAAATTCAGATTTTTGTTGTTATAAAGTATTCGAATTTCTAAAACAGAGCAATGAAAATAACTTCACAAAACACTGCCAGGCCATTGCATGCTTTCATTATTTTCCACTGGAAGTTAATAAACTATTTAAATAAGAAAAGAAACAAAAATACACATTTGGGGATTTTCCTTCACATGATGCTCAGCATTTTTGGGCTGATATTCTACCAGCACCTACCCAGAAACATTAGAAACTGCCATTTAATTCTCACTGAATTCTAAAATAAATACACTACTTCTATAACAAAAGAAACTGTAATTGAATTAATTTGGGTACTGAGAGTGTGTACAGATGTCCTTTACAGCAATTAAAAGATTTCTTTCTATTATTCACCAGGTAATTTACCTTCTATCAAGCAATTCAAATAATAAATTAAAGGCCATACCACTTCTACAAACAATAGCTCTTATATCTGTCCCTTACAATGCTGTACAGTGGCAGTATATGTCAGCACACAATTATCAAGATGATGAAACTTGAAAACAATAAACCAAATTCATACAAAATGACAGATCTTTTTAGTAAAGCTGCCTGTGAGTTATACCTAAACTGAGATTAGACTGATTTACTAGGAAAGCAAAAGAAAATGTCTGAGAAGAAGGTATTTTGTATTAAGATTAAATGGATTTAGTGGTGCCACATAACTCTGTCATATTATGTTACTAGGAGCATTTTTTTGTCTTTAAGTCAAGTTACTGTAATTGAACTTAGCTCTATTAATATAATAACCAAGGATGATGCAGTTAATGGGATCTTTAATGTAACAGAAAAGCAAATGAATAAGCAACAAACCACTAACGACAATTCTTCGGTGGTTATATCTAGACATTAGCACAACACTGAATCGAAAAGAAGGAGGTAACAGACCAGAGAGCCCTTTGCCTTCAACATCAGCAACAGCTAAAGAAAATCATTAACAGAACACAAAACACCATTTCTCCTTGTAGTTTTATTCACAACCAGTGGCAGCAATGACTACACTGCAAAACAACTCGGCATGGCACGGACACCAGTGCCGAAGACAAGGCAGAGCTGGGATGGTCAAACCCATCGGCCACCCATGGGTGCTACCAAACCTGGCCACCAAAACCCACCTCACAGGTGCAAGGCAGCCAGGACCTCACTGGTGAGCTCCTGGCTGGCCACCATGCTGCAGCCCATGTGGGTCCTTCTCATCTGCTCCTCAGAGGGGCATTATGCATCCACATGTTAGTCTCTGGGTCCCACCGAGGCATGCATCCCAAGCACACCAGAATGAGTTTTCCAGTGTGTACTCCCTGTTTCTTCTCACTCTTGGACTTGAGGCCATGGGCTCCTCCACTCCTTCACAACTCCTCCAAAGCCCTGAACAAAGTTTGGTGGCCAATCCTTTCCCAGAAACACTCTTCAGAAAGGTAGGGAAAGGGTGCAGAGGAGACTGGGATGTGGAAACACGTTCAGGACAGAACTGGGGTGAACCCAGATGGGAGAAGGTTAGCTCCTTGTAACTGCTACCTACCAGAGAGGCTGTGGAGAGACAGATGCTCCTGCCATGGCACCTCGCTGATGAGGATGTCTACTGGCACATGGTGGGCAAAGCAGGGTCCTGCTGTCCCTCCTGCACTCATGAGGCCTCTCCAGAGCTGGCAGGACAGCAGCTACTCCTGTGCTTCCAGTCTCCATGACACATGCTAAGAGACTCTTGGCAGAAGTCAGGGGCTGCCCAAGTGGCCAGATCACCCGGCTTGGTGACAGTGAGCCTGGAGCAGCAGCCCAACAGAAGAGGCATTCATTTGTTCTACAATGGCATTATGTGCAGAAGCAGAGGCAGTATGTGACTTCGAAGACCACAACAGGTTAAAAATAACCTCACTGAACATAGGTTATTTAACCACACAGCAGGCAGAAAACATTCCCTACAGTGCTAACCTTGCCTGCTCAAACAAAGTTATTTAGTGCACTTTCTTCTGGCCACCGAAATTCAATATTACCAGCTTCCCTGAGGTCTGAAGTGATCTAGAGAGCAAAGCTGCAACCTACCACTTCCTCCTTCAGGATGCATCACCACCAAAGGGTGAAAATTTCCAGAAAGTTTTGTAGGACAGTTTTCTTGGGATTGCTTTTGGGCATGGTTTTGGTTTGGGTTTTTGTTTGTCTGTGGGTTTTGGGTTGCTGTTTTGGGGTTTTTTTTGTTTGTTTATTTGTTTGTTTTAATAAAAACTAAAACAAGGGAAATAGCTCTCCCTCCTTTTCTTATAGGGACATACACACTCTTATTGGTTAGGACTCACCTAGGAGATCTATGTAAAAATTATTCACCGCTACACAAGGGGTCTTGTCAAAGTAGCAAATGTTCTAGATGCTGCCAAAACACTTCTTCCCTTAGCATGAGGAAGGCAAGTCTGAGAGAGTTGGGCTTGTTCAGCCTGCAGAAAAAGTAACTCCAGGGAGATCTTATAGCACCTTCCAGTACCTGAAGGGGCCTACAGGAAAGCTGGGGGGACAGGGCAGACACACTTTTTACAAGGGCCTACAGTGACAGGGCAAGGGGTAATGGGTTTAAATTGAAAGCGGGGAGATTTAGATTGAAGAAGTTCTTCACAGAGAGGGTGGTGAGGCACTGGAACAGGTTGCCCAGAGAAGCTGTGGATGCCCCATCCCTGGAAGTGTTCAAGGCCAGGCTGGATGAGGATTTGAGCAACCTGACCTAGTGGAAGGTGTCCCTGCCCATGGCACTGGGGTTGGAAACAGATGATCTTTAAGGGCCCTTCCAACCCAAACCAGTTTGCGATTCTATGATCCCAAGTCTCCCTCTTGGCCACAACATGGAAGATTTGGCACTCAGATACAATCTGTGCCTCTTACTCTGTGTTCATACTTGACTACCCAGCCCAGCGTATGACGCAACACCTCGGTAAATGACTGTCTGCAAGAGTTGTCACTGAAGAATTTGACCTATTTGAGTCTGGGATTTGGGACCAGGCCTCTGTGATGATATGGAAACTCCTTTGCTTTGAGTTGTCATCAAGCTGTTGCT